TTAAGAGTAAAATGCATTTATGGTGATCTGCCAAAAACAACTGTGCGGGTCTCTCAAAAATATTTCAAGATGCTGTGTTTGTTCTGCACTTTCAAGTGTTTTGTTGGGTGTAATTTGTGCAAAACAAGCAAGCTTTAAGGTGTACCAATGAGAAGTCACAAAAAGAACCAAATAAGAGACTACAATTCCAGTTATTCAGACACAAGAAAGTTATGCAGTTACCCTAAGAAGCCCAGGATTCATTGTCATGACCCTTCTAAGAAAAGGATAGGTGCTCTGGTAGCATAGTGCCTAAGGCACTTGACTGCTAACCAGAAGGCTGGCGGTTCAAACCCACCAGCCACTCCTCAGAAGGAAGGTTGGGCAATCCTACTTCCGTAGTGATACCGCCTCAGAAACCCAAGGAGGGGTCACGATGAGTCGGGGCCGACTCAATGGCATATAACAACAACAACAACAACAACAAGAAAAGGATGGAGGTCGGGGGGAGTGTTATCTGATGAGCTTGATGCCCAGATTAGAGTTGGAATAGAGGTTACCCAAAGTGCAGTGGAGCCCTGATGCTGAGTCTGAGCCATTGAGAAGTGCTTGATACATAAACACATGCAGCTTTGAAATTCAGGGATTCACTCACTCACTCACCTTCTTCGTGCCTGGCACTAGGCACTCCCTAAACCCAGCTGGGAAAGGGAGGGAAGTACTCTACCAATAATTCATTTGCTGATAACCAAGAATAAATGCTATAGTGGAAATACTGTGTTTTCTGAACTCGACATTAGACTTGAAACATGGGTCAGTTTTAAAAAGAAGTAATAAATTAGTGGTGAGTACCCACCAAGCCTATCTTCATGCCTCCTCCTAAGGATGATGGGGAACTCTTGATAAGACGAACAGTGACATGCTGTTCTGAATGGCCCCACTGGCTTGGCTTGAGGTTGTTCCAAATGACAGGGTAGATCCTCCTTAAGATATGGAATGAATGGGTAGCTTTAGATATATACTATGGGTGGGATATGGGGCAGAGAAAGGAGAAACTGGAGAACCAATGCATCTTTAATTACCCTGGGAATTGGATGACCCCTTTTAAAAGTTACTAACCTATTACATTATTTAAGATGGAATATTCATGTGTGAAGGAGCTCTGGTGGTATAGTGGTTAAGGGATTTGGCTATGGTTCAAACCCACTAGCTGCTCTGCAGAAGAAAGATGAGGTGGTCTGCTTCCACAAAGATTTACAGCCTTGGAAACCCAATGGAGGTTGCTGTGAGTCAGAATTGATTCAATGGCAATGAATTTTTCATTTGTTTGTTTGTTTATTCACATGTAAGGAGCCATGGTGACACAGTGTTTAAAGAATTAGACTGCTAACCAAAAGGTTGGTGGTTTGAACCCACCAGCCGCTCCATAGGAAAAAGATGAGGAAGCTTGCTTCCATAAAGATCTACAGCCTTGGAAACCCTATGGGGCAGCTCTACTCTGTCTTATAGGGTCATTATGAGTCAAAATCAACTTGATTGCAGTGGGTTTAGTTTTTTTGGTTGTTCACATGTAAGAAAAATGCATGCAGAGCAAGTATTGTGTCTCTTAGTTTCCTACTAAGGGCAAAGAAATGAGCAATTTTCATATTTTAGGCAGGTCCTTTAATACTTCTGGGCCTTGGTTTCCTCATAGAGACAAAAAGAACATGGATGCATATACTCCTTGGAGAAAAATAATCGTGACATGGCTATCAGGTGGTATTGAAAAGAGAATTTAATGTAGCTGAGTCTTAGCCACGCCTCAACCAGGGCTGACCCAGTGTCTTGCAAATGAAAGGGCCTGGATCTGCATGCCCAGGGCACTAGGCAATCACTAATCAGTACCTTGTTTGCCATTTGCTGAGCCCTGGAATTTTTGACAGTCTGTTGACCTGGGTGACCACAAACTTGAAGCTGCTGGGAATATGTACCTTGTTGCCCTCAACTGAAAGCAAACAGAGCAATCCAGAGGAACAGGGTTTTGTAATTGATTGTTAGTGCAGTTAAGATCCACATACCATGGAAAATAGTCAGTGACTACAGATGAGTTTACAGTGGATGATCTAGGTGTCAAATCCAGGCCTTCCACAGACAATATTTCTATAACCCCTTCCTCTTCTAAGTGTAATATGATAGAAACCAATCCCCCAGTCCTTGTTGTCATGGATCTCTTTGCAGCTCAGAAGTTGGATAAGTAATATTGATATCTTAGAAGGGAAGAAAATAGATATAGGGAAAAAATAGTGAATAAGTTGAAAGTATTTAATTATTTGCAGGGAAAGAGTTCACTCATGAGCAGGAGATGGTCAGTAGGTTGTGCAAGTAGCAATGGCAAAAATAAAAAAAAAAGATTCTTATGAAGGATGAGAAAGAAAAACCAGCAGATGGTTGTGAACGTAAATGATGTTTGCCCACTTTGTATAAACTCAGTAGTGAGCAAGCAGCAGAGAGGTCAGCCTGGACAAATATCTTTGAGTCAGCTGATTGGGGGCATCACAATAGTTTCACTTGTTGGAAGATTCTCTGGGAAACCTTTATGGTTCCGTCACGGCACCAGCAAAGCAGGCTGTCTCTGTAATACCTGCTATCATTCTTCCCTTAGCACCTCCACCATCTACGGGCCCAGTCTATACCATTTCCCTCATCAGGATTTCTCCAGAGCCTTCAAGGAATGTTACAAACCCATTGTGTTTATCTGCAAACACTAACCTTTCCTTAGCCAGCTTGAGTCCTACCACTGAACGGTGTTTTGAAACCCATTCCAGTTCCTTCAAGATATATATTGTTGTGTGCAGTAGAGTTAATTCTGACTCATAGCAACCCTATAGGGCCAAGTAGAACTGCCCTATAGGTTTTCCTAGGCTGCAGTCACTATGGAAGCACATTTACCAGGCTTTTCTCCTACAGAGTAGCTGATGGGTTCAAATCGCCAACTTTTCAGTTAGCAGCTGCGTGCTTAACCATTGCACCACTAGAACTCCTTTCAAGATATATTACACAGTGTTTCAAATTAAACTGGACATGATGGGGTGATGAGAGAAAAGTAGACATGCAAAGGCCATCTGTGAGAACTTTCCATCCTTCTAGGCTCTTCTGTGCCTCTACCACGTCCACTTCTGCTCTGACATGGACACTGTGAAAGGATTCTTTGAGTTGTGTGTGTAACAATAGCTCTTTCTCCCAAGCCCTTTTGACTCTAAACTTCCCAAACTTGTAGATTACATAATTGTCACATTCAGGCAACTTTCCTGTCTGCCTCTGTGGTATTGTTTCTGTTGAGTTCTTTGTCATGGAAACTTCAGCTGTGTTTGTGAGAAGCTCCTCCTCACATGAACAGCTCTTTGGAAAGCAGCTCCAGTGGAATGACCCCTTTAACCACAGGGCCCCTTAAACAGTAGGTTGAAATAATGCAAATGATTGGCAGTCTACTAAGGATGACCTGTGTTGCTTGTCAGAGCTTGCCCCCATGGGTGATGTTCATTTAGAGACGTGTTGTCCTTGTTTCATGGGTGGAACTAAGGAGAACAAACTGGGCCAAAAATGTCAGTCACTGAGTCTCTGTTAAGGGTGATAGAAAAATTGGGGAACAGTTAATAGTGATGGTTGAACAACATGATGAACATAATTAATGTCACTTAATCATACCTTTGAAGATTGTTGAAATGGAAAGTATTTTGTTACCTATATATTTACCAAGGAGCCCAGGTAGCACAGTGTTTAATTGCTCAGCTGCTAAGCAAAAGATAAATGGTTCGAACCCACCAGCCACTCCGCTGGAGAAAGATATCACAGTCTGCTTCCATAAAGATCAGGTTGTTGGAAACCATATGGGGCAGTTCCACTCTCTACCCTACAGGGTTGCTGTGAGTCAGAATCAATTCGACAGCAATGGATTTGGTTTTGCTTTTGGTGATATATCTACTATAATAATAATAATGAGAAATGACAGTCACTTTGGAGTCCTTTTAAGAGGTCAAAAACAAACAAAACCCACTGCCATTGAGTCAATTCCGACTCATAATGTCCCCCATTGGGTTTCCAAGGCAGTAAATCTTTATGGAAGTAGATTGCCCTGTCTTCCGCAGAGTGGTTGGTGGGTTTGAACCACCAACCTTCTGGTTAGCAGTCAAATGCCTTAGGCACTGCACCATCAGAGCCCCTTTTTTAAGAGTTTATAATTTAATCAGAAAATAACTATCCAAGGAGGCTTTCAAGACCACTTCTTGCCAGGGCACAAACTTCAGATGAAGAATATCAGCCTTAGAACTAGAGTTCTCCACAGAGATGTGGCAGGCAGGCAAGTTTCAGAAAAAGAAGGGTGTTTACTATCAAAGCCATAGCCAAGCCCTTTGGAGAGAATGTTCACAAAGGTTCATGGGCTGATGGGGAGTTTGGAGTGGGCAGCACCAGGCCTGACTTGGGAAAAGTCAAAAAATTACCATTGGGAATGAAGGAATGTTTTGAATTTGTCTGGAAGCCCCTTGGTCAGCCAGTGGGATTCTATTTACTTGTTCCTTGGGAGGTCTTCTCAGAGCTCACTGGGGGAGAGCCAAAGACCTGCTCCTGCTCCTTCACCCCAGCTCCCTCAGAGTGCTGGGGCTGCAGCAACCTTTCCATCTGGCTCGAGTGGGCAGTGGCTTCTCCCTCCAGAGCTTATCTGAATTTTCCTGGAACTGGCCCCTGGGACCTGGCCAAGTTGTTCCCATGCACCTCCTCCTGCCTCAGAGGTGGGAACCCTGCCTGAGACCAATGCAAAGCTGGTCAGTACAAGAGGAGATGCTCTGAGTGCACTTGACCTGCCTTGGCATTTCTTATTCAAAACTTCTTGCGAAGGGCTGGTCCTTATCTGGGTGGCCTGATTATGAGGCCATGATCCCACTAACTCGTCCGTAGCTGCATCAGTCCAAGCTAAGTTGGGAAGCTATTGGGAGCAGCTTTTCAGATGATTTGATCCTTCTTTGTGTCTTGTTTATTTATCTCAGATCTGCCTGACCAATGTACTCCGAACCCCTGTGATAAGGAGGGAACACAAGTCTGCCAAGACCTAATGGGCAACTTCTACTGCCTGTGTAAAGCCGGCTGGGGGGGCCGGCTCTGTGATAAAGGTAAGACCACCTTCTTCCTTGTGGGCAGATGTGCTGTTCCAGCATCTGTTTTTCCATTGTGATGTGAAATGGAGAATGTATGTGTGACTAGGGCCATCATACCTAGTTGAACCACTCCCTTCAGGACTACTTGAGTGGACCCAGGAGCAATAGAGATGCTCCCACCAAGGGACGTGAGCTGGACTGGTCTCTCTCCTACCTCTTCTGGCCCTCTCTCTGCCTTGACCCCCTGCCACTCCACCTGGGTAGAGAGCTGCTATACTGTACATGTTCTGGCTGAGACGAGGGCAGAGGTGTGGGAGTTGGGTCCCAAGGCTGACCTAGGATCAGAGCCCTCACTGGCTGGCTCTGCTCATCCAGGAGTATGTCTGCAGCCCTACTCAAGCCTCCCTAACCTTGTTAGCCCCAAATTCTCCCAAGATCATTTACATTTATCCAATGCTGAGAAATGCCTGGTTTAGCCCTCCTGGGGTAGGGGACTCTTCCATTGAAGTGATTGGGAATTGCTGCAGCCATGAAGGGTTTGCTTGGAGCAGAGCCAGCTTCTTGAAAGAATTTAGAACTGGATGGTTCCTATCTAAAAACAAGGTTGGAATAAAAGGAAACTAGGTCCCTGGGTGGCGAAAACCATTAAGCACTCAGATACTAACCAAAAGATTAGTAGTGCAAACCCATCCAGAAGTGCCTTGGAAGAAAAACCAGCAGTCTGCTTCTGAAAAATCATAGCCTTGGAAATGTTACAGAGCAATTCTATTCTGAAGCATATGGGGTCACAGTGAGTCAGAATCAAATGGTTGGTCAGAATGTTTGGTTGGTTGGTTGGTTGGTTGGTAGCCATAGCATGAAGGGGTACAAATGTAACAGTGGAGCTTGGCAACCATGGCTCTATCAAGCAGCCTGATTCTAGGCAAGTCTGTTATCACTGTTGGCTTCAGCTTCCACTGATTAAAAAGGGGAGGGGAATAATTTCATCTCTGACATCCTTGGAATCTGCAACTCCACCAATAAATAAACATGTGAGAAGAATACCCCCACGGGCTGGTTAAAACCCTGAGGTGTGGTCCCTTGATTTTGGTGGAGATTGGCCAACAAACCAGACCCCCTCACCATTCATGTGGTTGGCCCTGCCCCAAAGGAGAGGCTGTTGTTACCCTCAGGAGTGCTCCTCTCTCAAGGAATTGGTTCTGCCTCCCTGGGCACTTCCTTCTGGGAAGGCACGCTGAGCCCACACCACACCATGACCTGTAGAGGGTCAGCTCAGGGTGCATGGGTCTGTCTTCTCTTGGTGGCTTGGCAGAGTCAGTCCTTGAGCTGGTAGGTCACTCACAGATTCCACTCTCCTCCTTCTGCTCACTGAGTTCCTGCAGAGCTGAGACTGTTCCCCACCCACAACTCATCCTCATGGCCTCAGTTGCAGCTAGGACGGGTGTCCAAGGGATCTTCTTGTGCCTTTTGCTCTTATCTCCTCCACACTGTGCTGCCTTGCAATTTCAACTCTGGTGATAAAGCCCCTTCACTTGTCTCCTGAAGAAATCTTCAGGGCGGCTCCCTTTTCACACAAAAATGAGTGATGCCCAAAGATTTGAAGGAGTGGATGTAATGGAGATAAATGTCTGTAGATGCTATTTCTGGAGCTCTGGTGGCATAGTGCCTAAGGCATTTGACTGCTAACTAGAAGGTTGGCGATTCAAACCCACCAGCCAGTCCTTGGAAAGAAGGTTGGGCAATCTACTTCTGTAGGGATACTGCCTCAGAAACTCAGAGACGGTTTGCTATGAGTTGGATCTGACTCAATGGCAGTAAGTTTGACTTTTTTTTTTTTTTTAGATGCTATTTCATGCCACCTGAGTAAGTTATGATGTGAACATTTTGGTTTTTTCTTCTTTATCATTGCACCCAGATGTCAATGAATGCAGCCAACAGAACGGGGGCTGTAATCAAATTTGCTACAACAAGTTGGGCAGCTTCCACTGTGCCTGTTACAGTGGCTACACACTCTCCTCTGACAGTAGGACCTGTGAAGGTAAGGCCCTTGGATTTAGGACCCACCCAGATGTGGAACCTGGGCTTCCCTGAAGCTCTCTTTCTCCTTCACCTCCCTCCCCTTCCACCCTCCCTTAAAAAAAAATTTTTCCAATTGCACTGCTCTTCATGCCAACATGGGAGGTCATATTTGCTCCCTCTGTAAGAGGTTGCTGCTGGCAGCTGGGTTCCTTTGGTTCTGGTGGGCAGGAGCAAGGGAGAGGCATCCTGCCAGAGTGAACACATGCCCAGGCATGCTGGTAGTCACAGGGAGCTCCTCTCCAGCACCATGACACCAAAATGATTCACCCGGGGATTGTAGGCTAGAGCTGGCTGAGGCTAGGACAGCCCATCAGGCCACACTTCTGGACTCAGGAGAGGGAGCAGGCTGGGGAGCCTGACTGCTAAGCTTTCTTCCACTTGCAGATGAGCCTGGAGCCCTTTATGTGCATTGCTTCAAACCCAGGATAAAAGCCATAGCTGGGATGTTTCAAGAGAGTGGAGGTCACAATGGGAGCATGAAGGTAGTAGGGCCCAGTTATGTCTCTTTCCAGTCTCACTGAGCTTACCGACAGCCTGGAGCTGTGTTTGTGCAACTCAGCAAGCCTGGGACATTTCATGAGGGGTCACATTTCATGAGGCAGAGAGCATGGAGGTCAGGGCTCTGGTACCAGGCTGCTGCTGCCCGAACCCTACCAGCCACCCATATATCACCTTGTCCACACCAGTTTCTCTTCCCCAAAGCCCCTTCCCTATTGCTGGTCTCCCTCTCCAGCCAGTTTCAGATACTGAAATATCTGTTCACCAAAGCAGAAGGCAGTTCAGCCTTTTGCACTTTCTTGTTCCCACATCAAGGAATCTGGAGCTCCTCATGGCCTAGAGCCAGAGCAGGGGAGGTCTTGAGAATGCCCCAGAAAGTCACTGCCAGTGTAAGCATCCTCTCTGCCCTTCCCAGGAGTGCCTGCTCAAAGCACCACACCATGTTTGCAAGGGACAGCGTCTTTCCTTCTCCCTCCCTCCCCTTCTGATCCAGAAGTACCCAAGGACATCCTTTTGCAGATGTCCCTCCAGAAATCTGGGTCATGTATCTTATTGCTGCAGGCTGGCTCACCCAGTGGAATGCAGCTGCCTGCACAGTGAGATTGGACAGACAGGTAGCTTAGGAAGAAACAGCAACTCAGAGAGTCACAGAACCAGAGGGATCCTGATGAATGTCCCTGGCATCTAGGAGGTGAATCTCAATCAGACAGGACTGAGTTGTCAACCTCTTGTGGATGATATTCCCTCATTTCAGAAAAAACAAGTTCCATTTTTGTCCATTTCAGTGTTCATATCCCTGAGGGTTCAAAATTTTTCCTTTGTCCAAAGGAAACTATTCCAATCTTAATGCATAAATGAAACCCATTACTTTTTCTCATCAGCCCTCCACGGACCTGAAGAACAGCTCTTCCCTCTCATAACAGCTGTGAGGTCACACATGGGTGCTGAGTTAGACCCCAGATTTAGGTTCTAGCTCTATTATGGCTGTGTGAGTTTGAGCAAGTGACTTTACATCCCTGTGGTTTAATATTCTTACCTTTCAAAAGCAAGTTGGCAATACTGACATTATTGAATGGTGTCTTAGTTAATAGTGCTGCTATAACAGAAATACCACAAGTAGATGGCTTTAACAAATTTATTCTCTCATAATTTAAAAGGCTAGAAGTCCAAATTCATGTTGACAGCTCTAGTGGCAGGTCCTTGTCTCCTTTCAACATCTGTGGGCCTAGTGTTCCTTGCAGGTCTCCACATGGCTTGGCATCAGTCTCCTCTGGGTCTAGGAGGTTCTCAGCACCCCTGCACAGGGTCCAAAGGATGCACTCCACTCCTGGCTCTTCTTTCTTGGTGATAGTTAGGTTCCCTTCTCTGCTTGCTTCCCTCTCCTTTTATCTCTTGTAAGACAAAAGGTGATGCAGGCCACATCCCAGGAGAATACCCCTTACATCAAGTCAGGTCTGTGACCTGAGTAAGGGTGTTGTATCCCACCCTAATCCTCTTACAACTGATTGGCTGATCATATCAGATGACATCATGGGGAATGATTACATCATTACATAACTGCCAGATTATATCATTGCGTAACTGCCAAACCACTGAAACTCCTGGCCCAGCCAAGTTGATGTATATATTTGGGGTGGGGTGGGGTACAATTCAATTCATGACAGATAGATTTCATGAGATGATATCTATAAACCATTTAACATGGCATCCAGCATAGAGTTAGTACTCAAAGTCTTACTATGACTTGAAGACAATAATTAAGACATCCCTTATTTAATAATTCTCTGCAGATTAATAAATCCAGTTTCATTGGCTCAGTGGTTTGCCACTTTTGGCTGTACATTGCAGTCACCTGGGGAGTTTTCAAAAATTACTGAAGCCAAGGCCCCACCCCAGACTAAGAAAATCAGAGTGTCTGGGGGTGAGGGCCAAGCACTAATATTTATTAAAAAAAAAAAAAAAACAGGGAGTTCACTGTGCAACCAGACTTGAGAACTGCTGCTTTAATCCTTCCTCAGAAGGCTTTCTTATGACCCTTTAATCACTAATAGTGTTTTCTAATTGTTCCCACCAACCTTTTGGAGCTGACTCAGGTGGTCTGACAGCAGCCCAGGATAGGGGGAAGGTTACATTATTATCACCTTATGTCTGTTACCTTTTTAATTTCAATCCAGAATCTTGTTGATATCCCTCCCCACCACACACATACACACACACACACACACACACACCAGTATGCCTTTGTGGATGCACGTTTAGTGCTATGCTAACAACAGAGCCAAAACATTTGCCTGTTCCAAGGCCACTGCTTCAAGGTGCTCTGATTAGCATGACAGCCAATGTAGGAGAGGTATGCTCAGTGGGTTCTGGGCATGTCTGGAAATACCAGCCCCCATGCACACTCTTTTTTTTTGGCCACAGCTATTTTCCGGGGGCAATAGTGGTTCAGTAGTAGAATTCTCACCTTCCGTGCAGGAAACCAGGCTTCGATTCCCAGCCAGGGCACAGGCATAGCCCCCACCTGTCTGTCAGTGGAGACTTGCATGTTGCTATGACATTTAACAGGTGTCAGCAGAGTTTCCAGACTAAGATGGACTAGGAAGAAAGATCTGGCTATTTCCAAACAAATCAACCAGCGAAAACCCACGGATCACAATGATCTGATCCTATTGTGCATGGCACCTCCGTGAGTCAGGGGCCAACTTGACAGCCACAGACATTAACAACCACAAACATTTCTTTTGCACCTTGGAACCCCAGATCTTCAGTATGTGAGTTTGGGATAAATGAGGATCAGGAGTCCTTGACATTGTGATCAGGAAGAAACACAATTTTCTAACATGCCTCCCATCTCTGAGCAGCATAAGAAAAGGTGGCAATGTGACAGCTCCAGCTTACTAACCTCAGCTTTAGTCAGGGAGGCTGGGGACCTGTACATTGTCTGATGGTTTTCTTGGCTGCCAGAACAGGAAGGGACTGGGCTGGCCACATTTGTGACTAGAGGCCCAGGCTGTGTGGCTGAGAAGCGGGAGCTGGCCAGCTTGACTAGCCTGGCTTTCCAGGGGAGCAGACCTATTGCCTGTAGCTGCTGAAGGAGTAGCACAGGGTGAGGGCCATGCAGTTGGAGTTGGGACCTTCTTTGAGGGTCAGTGGGGAGGGTCAGTGGGAGTGCTTTTGCAGCAGGGCATGTATAGTGCCACTGACTGACCGGGTTTTCCATGCCCAGTGCCAGCACTACTCAGTTATACATTCCTTCTGAGAGGAGCTTGAAAAATATTTCCTCCACCTACTCGTGTCCAGGTTTCCTGGGTCACTGTTGTTACTGTAGTTGTCTGAGGTCACTAGTTAACAATTTGTCAGCTTCTACAGTGGACTGAGTGGTAGGAGAGTGAGATTTAAGTCTGGGAGAATGGAGTTGGCTAGGATCTTGGAAGTTGAGATGAGGGCAGAGGAAGGGGTGGGGAGAGGCCCAGTGGCAGAGTTCCAGGCCTCCTGCCCCACCTCCAAGCCTGCAGTCATTACAGAAGCCAGTGGGGTACCCAGGCCTCCTGCAGTGATACTGCTACAGTAGAAGAAAGCAGTGATGACTCAGAGGGGAAACAGGAGCCTTTGATAAATCAGGGTGGGGACACTGGTGATTTCAGGTTCCACCCCATTGTTTCACTTGTGGAAGGAATGACCCAGCCCTTGGTCCCCTCAGGATGCAGCAAGGATAGGCATAAATCTGGCTCAAGCCCCTGCCAGCAGAGAATTTTCCATAATTTTGAGACCTACCTTAGAGCTGCCAGAAGTCAATGGTAAGGAGCTCTGGTAGCATAGTGGTTAAAGCATTCGGCCGTTAACCAAAATGTCAGCAGTTTAAACTTATCAGGCACTGTGCAGAAGAAAGATGAGGCAGTCTGCTTTTGTAAAAATCTACAGCTTTAGAAACCCCATGGGGAGTTCTCCTCTGTCTTTTAGGATCTCTGTGAGTCTCAAGGGAGCTCTGGTAGCATAGTGCCTAAGGCATTTGACAGCTAACCAGAAGGCTGGCGGTTCAAACCCACCAGCCACTCCTCAGAAGGAAGATGGGGCAATCTACTTCTGTAGAGATACTGCCTTGGAAACCCCCCAAGGAGGGGTCGCTATGGGTCGGGTCTGACTCTATGGCACATAACAAAAACAACAACATGATTCAGTTGATTTGATTGATTCAATTGAATTCATTGATTCAATTGATTCAGTGACAGTTGGTTTGAGGTGTTTTTTTTTTTTTTTTTTTTTTTTTAACTGAAAGGCAGTGGTTCTCAAAGTGTGTCCAGTTTGGCAGCATTAGGAACTTGTGAAAAGTGTAGATTTTTCAGCCCCCTTTCCAGATCCCCTGAATTAGAAACCCTGCAATCTGTGCTTTAACAAGCCTTCCAGGGTACTGTGATGCATGCTCATGTTCAAGAATCCGCAGTCTAAGGCAGAGCCCTTGGGTGGTGCAAATAGTTAATGCTAACCAAAAGGTTGGAGGTTTGAGTCCATCCACATGTGCCCCAGAAGAAAGGCCTGGCAATCTACTTCTGAAAAAACAACCATTGAAAACCCTATAGAGTACAGCTGTATTCCAACACACACGAAGTTGCTTTGAGTCAGAGTCAACTCCATGACTGTTAGGTCTAAGGTACCAAGGTCTAAGGAGTGGCTTGGTGGGGGCCAGTTGCAACCAGTTCTGCTCTCGGAAGCCCAGCAGCTGATGCTCTGCCTGTTGAGAGGAGTCCCTTTTGGAGCTCTTCTTGGCCACTGACTCAGGAATGCCAATGAGCTAGGTTGTCTGTCCCCATTGAGCCAGTAAAGACTGGTAAAGGTTTCAGGATTGTCCCTAGAACTTTTCCTGTCATTGTTGTGTAGCAGGATCTTATCAAGGGAGATCAGAATGGGGCTGTTCTGCAGCTGAGGGAGATTTGAGCTACTGTAAAGGCCACTTTTACTGTGAATTGGGAATCCTTTGTGTAATGATGGCCACTCTGATAGGGAGGGCAGGGCAGTTTTGAAAGTTCTCTTGGAGTCATCTGGGGGTTAGGGTAGGGTCAAGGAACTGCTAGAGGGTCCAGACCAGTTTCACTCCCAATTGCCTGTCTGGGCTTGGCAGTGAAGCAGTTGTTTACATGATTAAAATCAGATCTTGGCTTCCAGTCAGCTTCACCTGCTGGCGCTATCATTGGCCAACTTAGAAGGGCCTGCGACTCAGTGCATCTGAGGATTGTGCTGATGCAATGCAAGTGCCATTCCTGGCAGAGGCAGTGGCCCTGCTGAGGGAGGTGAAGAGGGTGAATTCTCTCTGGGCCTCCAGGGGCTCTGCATGGTGGCTCCACCAAGGTGCGGCTCCTGTATGTCTGATCACAGACCCAGCTAGAGACCTGGTCCTTATCTAAACCCCACTGTTTAAGCTGAAATCTTTGGAATGATGGATGCACACACACACATCAGTTGGTGTAAGGCAATTCCAGGTCATAGCCACACCAGAGTAGAACTGTGCTCCGTAGAGTTATCAATAGCTGATTTTTCAAAAATAAATCAGGACTTTTTTCCAAGATGCCCTTGCATGCACTTGAACCACCAACCTTTCAGTTAGCACCTGAGTGTTTAACCCTTTGTGCCACAAGGTGGACAAGGCTAATTATAACCACTCCTTAAGGGCATCAAGGGTTTGCCCAGTATGGGAACTTGAATTGAAATACAGTTTCAGAAGAATCAAGAATTATATTTTTTGTTTTGAAGAAATCACCACAGATCAATCTTGGTAAAGTAAAACTCAGCAATGGCTTATACATTTACTCTTGGGGAACAAAATGTCTTTGTGTTAGTTCATTCCTGCGATTAATGAGTGACATCTTAGCTTTCACGTTTGAAAGCCTGTGTTCTTGGATAAGGTGCCCTTACAACAAAACTATAAATGGTTAGAAAGTTTGGAGATAGAGTTTTTCTGCCATCCGAGGAATTGTATGATATTTAAGTAATGATTATGCTTTCTGGATATTCCTTCTTGTAGGAAGTTTTCTTTTCTTTTCTAATTACAGGGTTTGTTGTTTGCCAAAATAGCAAAAGGAAATGGAAACCTCAGTGCAGAACATTGATGATTTATTAATACTTTAGTGTTTAATGAATATACACCTGAGCAGATTAGAATGATAGAAACTGACCCCAGGGCCTGACCCTCAATAAACCTCCATAAATGAAAGAAAGAGTGCCTGGCACATTAGTTGTGTTCAACATGGTAGAGAGAATACTGCCACACTGATGTCTTTCAAATTATAATATTCAAGTCTTAGAATTCGGTATAATATTAGAAGTATATGAAAAATAGGTTGTTTGATCAGTAGAGCAGAACTTCAAATTTCCAGAGAATCCAGACTTACTGGACTCATTGTTACGTGCCATCGAGTCAGACCCGACTCATACCAACCCCTCCTTGGGTTTCCGAGGCAGTATCACTACGGAAGTAGATTGCACAACCTTCCTTCCGAGGAGTGGCTGGTGGGTTTGAACCTCCAGCCTTCTGGTTAGCAGTCAAGTGCCTTAGGCACTATGCTAGGAATCCCTGAGACTATTGCCTTGGGATACTCTTCAGATTCTGAAGTGAAACTATGCCCTGAAGTCATCTTTAAACAAAACAAAAAAAACAGTTTAGCTCAAAAAGTAATGGATGTCATTCTTAAGTATTATGCTTTTTCTTTCTTTCTTTCTTTCTTTTCTTCTTTTTTTTTTTTTTTAAATATCTACATAAGATCAAAGGAACAACAGTAACTGTAAAGCAAAGAAGGTTAGGGGACAATGAATCTAAATTATGTGGGTAAACAACTAGAGCAGACATAACAAGAAGGCTGAGACAATGTGAAAGATATAACCAGTGTCACTGAACTATGTGTGTAGAAATTGTTAAAAGGGAGTATGTTTTGATGTGTATCTTTTCACCAAAAATTAAATTAAGTAATAAAAAATGTGTTTGAAGCCAGTAAATAAGTGGTTAACCCTGATGGGTGGTAATTTGGGTTAAGTAAGTTGAGGGAGGGTTTACTTTTTTATTTTGCTCTACTACAATCATTTGAATTAAACAATAATCACAGTGTGTACTTGTTCCTAGCCTGTCAGGGTAATGTCTGTGCCACTTTATTTGTTGGTCTAATAGTGACCAGGGAAGATCAGAAATTACCCTTGTCTTGTTCTGGCCCCTCCCTATCCCTCAACTGGGCCCCTTTGCCAAAAGCTACAGGCAAAGGTGGAACCTACTGTTTGTGGTAGAGGAGAAAGAAGGGGCAAGGGAGGGAGGAGGGGAAGAAGGGAGAGTGTTTGGGAGCTAGTGGAACCCAGGGCCGTCATGCTGACCACTGCCAGACACAGGGGAGTGATTGATTCCACAGAATCTAAAGGTTATCTTGTGTGTCCTTGTTTTTAATCCCTGCGGGCCATGGGCAAGAGCAGCTCTCCGGTTACTTCAAAGGTAACTGGGAGCCTTGCCTGGCTACAGCTTTTTCCATCCAGATCTGAAGTACAATTGTGGGTCTTCGTTTTGCTTACAGACATAGATGAATGCTCAGACACGGATGCCTGTGGGGAGGCTCGCTGCATGAACCTGATGGGGTCATACTCCTGCCTTTGTGACAAGGGCTACAAGTATGACAGCGAGAAGAAGGTCTGCCAAGGTACTGCCTCCATGCCCCGTGATGCCTACTCCCTTTGTCCTCCTCTTCCCAGAATACTCCAGCACCCCTGCAACACTTGATGTTCATGCTTTATAAGTGTGTACTGAATTATTAGGAACTACTGGCTAAATATTCTAGGAAACAGCTTGTTGTTGTTGTTGTTATGTGCTGTTGAGTTGGACTCGATTCATAGTGACCCCTCCTTGGATTTCCGAGGCAGTATCACTATGGAAGTAGATTGCCCCATCTTCCTCCTGAGGAGTGGCTGGTAGGTTTGAACCACCAGCCTTCTGGTTAGCAGTCAAGTGCCTTAGCCACTGTGCTAAAGGGTATGGACAAGTTGGCAAAAAAAAAAAAAAAAAAAAACTCATGAAAAAAGCTTCTTTCTATATATACCCCCTGCAAAGGGCTCCCGGCCTCAGAACTCCCCACAGACTGCCCCAGTCATGGCTTCTCTTACCACTGCCCACACACTGGCACACATACCTCTCACTACAATTCAGCACCCTTCCCTCACCTGCTGTGCACACAAAGAAAAGATTGTATAAGAATACACCACTGTGCAAAACGCCAGAGAGGCAAATCAGGCCTCTCCCCAAGCCCCTTTTCACCCTGTTTTATTAGGAGACAGGTCTAATGAAATTTTATATCTCACTGTTCAGTTCCAGTCATTATCTAGAGGAATTATAGAGAAGCAAGATTCTTTTTTACAATTGTCTTAGTTGCATAATAGTGCTATAACAGAAATATCATAGTGGGTGGCTTTAAAGAACAGAAATTTATTTTCTTACAGTTTAGGAGGCTGTAAGTCTGAATTCAGGCTGTGGCCCTAGGAATGAACAGTCCTTGGAGTTCCTGGGCTTGTAGATTCATCTGCCTCCATAATCTTCAGACAGAGTCTGCCTTTCCCTGTATGAACTCCCTTCTGTGTCTTCTCTACTCTTTTTATTACTGGGAAGTGAGTATATTTAAGAAATAGGCTACACTGATAATGGCCTCATTGACATAACAAAAACCCTATTCTCAAACGGGATTCTGTCTTACCTGTAGGGGTTGGGATTCCAACACATATTTTGGAGGACACAATTCAATCCATAAGAACATTTTTCCTTTTTGGTAGCCATGGAGGGACCATGCCCCACTCCTGAAGGTATGGACCTTGGCTTGGGAACAGGCCCTTCTTCATGATGTAGATCATCAAGGAGGAGGCCTGAATAGCAAGAGTGAGAGTGTGAGGTGGTCTTGCCTCACCAACAGGAACAGGGCACCTCCTGATCAGTGCTGCTGAATCCCCTTCCCTCTCTCTCCCCACAAGAAGGTCCCTGACCACCGGCCACCCCTTGGGACTCTTAGGACTGCTTTTGAATTTGTATCAGTGTCTTTCAGTCCAAATATTTTATAAATGTGATTTTTTTACTAACCTAATAGTGTGAGTAGATTTAGTGTATTTGAAAAATTGTCCTTAGATTATTCCAGTACTTTATTTCCTTCAAGGAAAAGGATAGCTGAGGAAAAAGAGAAGACTGTCCATGTAAGAAAGGAGTTCTGGTAGCATATTGGGTAAGGTATCTGGCTGCTAACCAGAAGGTCAGTGGTTCAAACCCACGGGTCACTCTGCTGGAGGAAGATGGGGTGATCTACTTCCGTAAAGATTTACAGCCTCAGAAACCCAATGGGGGTCGCCATGAGTCAGGATCGAGTCGATGGCAGTGAGTTTGGTGTTGGGTTTTATCCGTGTAAGAAAGAGCTCTGGTTGTGTAGTGGGTAAGGCATTTGGCTGCTAATCTGAAACTCAGCAGTTCAAAGCCACCAGCTGCTCTGTGGGAGGAAGATGAGGCAGTCTCCTTCTGTCAAGATTTACAAACTTGGAAATCCAGTGGGGGTAGCTTTGAGTCAGAATCGACTCGATAGCAATGGGATCCATCTAAGAGAAGTCAGCCCTGGTCATTGAGCCTGACTGCAGATCTGGAAGAATATGGATGGAAGCTGTAACAGAGTTATCTGGAAGAAGAGAAACAGGATTAGAGGGATGTTTGCTTCCTAAGTTACGTGCTTTAGAATTATTTACACTATTATGCGTGTTATCAGGAACAAAGAGATGTGATTATACAAAGAATGTGATTTAGAGACATTTCTTTTGCTACGATGCCAGCACATTTACATTTCGCTGCTTCCCCTTTTGTGGCCTGCAGATGTGAATGAATGTGACGAAAACCTCTGTGAACAGGTCTGTGTCAACTCCCCAGGGAGCTACACCTGTCACTGTGACGGAAAAGGGGGCCGCAAACTATCGCAGGACATGAACACGTGTGAGGTAGCGTTTTCCCTTCAGCCCTGTGGAATGAAATCCTTGGTTCAGGCTCTGCCTCCAAAACTCAGGATACACAAAGCCAGCATGGCCAGGGTGGGTGGGGTGGGGACTCACATTTTTAAAACAATTGAGTCAGACTTAGACTGAGTTGCAGTGAAATTTCACAGCCACTTGGGTCACAATCACAGTGTTTTGTTTGTGACTCTTTGACAACTGACAGAGTAGGTTTGTTGAGAGAAATGCTTTTGTGAATACTTACCAAAAACCAAACCAAACTCAACTGCTGTCGAGTTGGACCTGACTCATAGTGACCCCTCCTTGGGTTTCCGAGGCAGTATCACTACAGAAGTAGATTGCCCCATCTTTCCTCCGGAGGAGTGGCTGGTGAGTTTGAACCTTCAGCCTTCTGGTTAGCAGCCAAATGCCTTGGGCACTACGCCACCAGAGCTCCTTTAGCTTTTCCTAAAAGGCTTTAGGGGCCACATGGAGAGATTTGGGATAAGAAATGTTTCTGTTCTATAAAAATGTTTGGCTGTATTTCTAAAATCTCTATAGCAACTACCCACTCAACAACTGACCAGCACGTTTGTGGACACAAAGTGTGACACAGAAACCTAATAATGCACATTTTCTACCAAATCTGTCACACTTACCCGGGAACTAGCTAGACCATCATTTTGTAACACATGTATGTAATCAGGTCCTGATGATGAGTACTTCCATCAGAGAACATTATTAGCTAGCAGTATTACTTAATTTTGCTGTTTACTTGAGGACCTGGTATAGGCTAAAGAAATCTGCCTGAGAAATTGATTATAGTGAATATTAAAAAAAAAAAAAGTTCTTCCAGGTGAAATAGCAATCCGTGGATGGTTTTATAATACTGCAGATATTGGAAAATGGCTGCCAGTGGTCTCTGGAATCTGTGCCTGAGGAAGTGGGGTTTTCTTGAGTACAGTGAAGTTTCACTTGTTCTTCACACATCTATCCTTTGTCAATATTTACCTTATGTAAAGTGGAAAGACTATGCCCTCACTGGTGACCTCATGAGGCTGCATGAGTCATACGCACAGTGTTTTCTGCACTGTGGCCCTTCACACCATCCTTGTCTTAGGGAAATGTGGGAAACTAGTACTGTTTGAGGAGCTCTGGTGGTGTAGTGCCAAGGCATTTGACTACTAACCAGAAGGCTGGAGGTTCAAATCCACCAGCCACTCTGTAGAGATACAGCCTTGTAAACTCAAGGAAGGGGTCACTATGAGTCGGCTCCGACTTGATGGCAGTGAGTTTTGAGTACTATTTGAGGAGCAGTAAGGTTAGCCAGTTTCTAGCTCCCAGTTCTGCCACTAACTAACCATGTGTCATCAGGCAGATCAGCTCTCCCCCTCTGGTCCAAGCCCCTAATCTGACTTTCTCAGGTGCTTTCTAAGGAGGTCAACTCTAACCTTCTAAGGTTCCTTGTTTTCTCTATTGGCAGAATGGAGACACTTATCAGGTGTTCACAGCTAGCTGACTAGAACTAGAGTGGAGAACATTCTAGAAACAACAGTCTTCAAGGCATCCATATTGTATTTATTTTGTAATAGTTTATAGTATCATTGTTTTTTTAAAAAACTATTCTCTGCATTTCTCTGTATGTTTAAAATATTTCATAATTGTTGTTGTTATGTGCCGTCAAGTCGGCCCCGACTCATAGCGACCCCTCCTTGGGTTTCTGAGGCAGTATCACTACGGAAGTAGGATTGCCCAACCTTCCTTCCGAGGAGTGGCTGGTGGGTTTGAACCGCCAGCCTTCTGGTTAGCCTTAGGCACTATGCCACCAGAGCTCCTATTTCATAATTAGACAAAAAAAAAAAAAATGAAAACAAAAAGGAAATTAGTAGGGAAGGAGGGTGATGGAACTCCAGAGAGAACCTGACCAGGTCTCCTTGGGGTATGCAAATTATGTATAAGTGAAACCAAATCCTTCTAGAAATATATATGAAACTGATCTCTCCACCTGGGAGCCCCTTGACACGTGGAAGTCTGGTTATAACAATCTTTATGGGATTTCAGTAACTAAGCCTGGGGCACTGATTTCCAGAAAATTTATGTTGTGTACTTGGCGTCACCCAGGCTTCTGATACCCTGGAAGGTGGGAGGTGATTAAGTTCTTAGTACGAACTGTGGAAAGAGAGAAAGACATGCAGTCTCATATAGGCACTGTGATTATCATGAGGCCTTCTGGTTAAAGGAAAAAAACTAAAATAAAGGGCTGTTTCCTCCATGCCTGATGATTATAACTCCTGTTTTGTGACAGGACATTTTGCCATGTGTACCTTTTAATGTGGCCAAAAGTGTGAAGTCTTTATATCTTGGACGGATGTTCAGTGGGACCCCTGTGATTAGGCTACATTTCAAAAGACTGCAGCCTGCAAGGTGAGAAGTGGATTTATAACACGCATACAAAGATTCTTCCAGATGAAATAGCCACATGGATGATAGCTTTATAATATCACCAAACTTGTTGCCATCAAGTTGTGTTTGACTTCATAGTGACCCCATGTGACAGAGTAGAACTGCCTGACAGGGTTTTCTTGGGTATAATTTTTATGAAAGAAAATTGCCAGGCCTTTCTTCCATGGTACTGCTGGGCGGGTTGGAATTGCCAACCTTTAGATTAGTAGTTGAGTGCAAACCGTTTGCACTACCCAGGGACCTCATAGATAACTGGAAAATGAATCTGTGCCTGAGGAGTCAGTGTTGTCTTGAATACGTTGGAGCCCAGAATGGTCCTGAACCACCTTCGCAGTCTCCACATGAGTACAACCTACAGCGGCAAAAGTTTAAATTCTTAGGGCTCTAAGTAACTTATCACCAAAAGGTGCCCCCACCCAGCCCATCATTTCTAGAGCACCACCTCCTGGGCAGGAAATCTGCTTTTGGCAGTGTGGGGAGAAAGAATTACGGGGGTTATGAGGGTGGGAGCTTGGCTGGTGTTTGTCTGTGTTCTGTTGTTCACCCATGTGACCAGAGCTTGCTTATCTACTTTTTCCAATGCCAGATTTTAAGCTATCAATAGGGAAAGAAGCTGTGAGTCATTCTGACCTGTGCATAATTCTAATTTGTTTCTCGGCACCCTTGTGGTCAGACTTGTGGCTGAGTTCGACTTTAGAACCTTTGACCCTGAAGGTGTCCTTTTCTTTGCTGGAGGACATCAAGAGAGCACCTGGATCGTCCTCGCTCTGCGGGCAGGCAGGTTGGAGCTGCAGCTCCGTTACAATGGGATCGGCCGTGTCACCAGCAGCGGGCCCGTCATCAACCATGGCATGTGGCAAACGGTGAGTATGGGTGCCTGCTGTCTGTTCCTCTGGGGCTGGGCTCTTCTGGGGTTGCCTTTCCCAGCCAGCCCCAGTGGTTCTCTCTGAACTGAGGGCATGAGCATTTACCCAGATTCCTCAGACACTAACAGTTACTGAGTGCTGCTCTGCCCAGCGCTGGTAACACAGTGTGAAGCTTATGCTCTGGTGGGGCTCAGTGGGAGTCTCAAAGGGCTTATTATCTTCCTCATTTCACCAGATAGTCTTACTTAGCGTGGCTCCCTCATAATATGATGAATTCACTACTAGAGCTGTAGTTCTTGAATGGGGGTAATTCCCCTGCCAGGGGCATTTGGCAGTGTTGGAGACATTTTTGGTGGGCACAACTTGGGGATGTGGGGTGTGGGATAGTGCTATTGGTATCTAGGGGGTCAAGGACAGGAGTGCTGTTAAACACCCTACGATGCACAGGGCGTCTCCTCACAAAAAGAATTTCTGGTCCAGAATGTCAGTAAGTCTGAGGTGGAGAAACCCTGAGCTAGAGGTTCAGGGCTTCCTGCTCCTTGTCTAGGTGTGTCTCCTTGGCCCATAACCTAAGCTGGCTTCTAGAACTCACCTTTTCTGTGCAGGATAGAGTCAAGTGTGCCATATAGACTCACTGACTGTCCTCTGGGCCCTGACTTCTGGAGCCTGTTCTTTTATGCGCGGGTGTCCATCCCTTCTGAGGTGGAAAGCAAGCTCTTAGAGGCCAATGGGAGCTCATATTTAGGTGTGACGCTTTCTAGAGAATTTTCTGAGTCAAAACCTTTTGGCCAGTTTGAGGTGAGCATGCCCGTGACCTCCTGATTAAAACTGAACCATCAGATTTTTATTTTAGAGAGCTCTTTTGCTAGCTGTTGCTTTTTGGAATGCACTCTGATCTATCTATATCTCAATCCATGGAATCAAATGGTCCGTAATATAATGGGCTCTCATTGTCAATGCAAAGTGTCACAATAACCAAACATGGGCTTTCAGAAATGACTGTAAAAAAGAAATGGGAAAAGCACTCTTTTTTTTTCCCTTAGAGATGAAGATAAATGGAAAACTTCACCCTGGCCTCTGCGAATAAAAACATTGTAGACATTTGCTAATATTTCCATCCTGTCAAGTAATGTCTAGTTCCTTTCCTAAACTCTTAAAGTAACAAATATCTCCAAAGTGGCAGGAGGGGTGTTTCCAGCACAGCTACAGATAAAAATATAAATCTAGAGTAGGAAGTTTTCGAGATTGACGAACCCAGCAATCTGCAGATAAGAACTTGGTGCTCCCCAGCCCCAGAGATTCACATTCTTGTCCTCTGTGTGGGGGCTGCAGGGACGGGTAGCCTCGAGATGAGATAGCTGTGTGGAAAACATGACCTAGTCGATCTGATAAAGTTTGCCCATTGGTGAATCACAGCTGCCACCGCACCCTGAAGAAATGAACCTCTAGGGCACATGTGGCAGATCCCAGGGTCCTCCAGGAGGTGCATCAGATCATTTGTGATGTTTCTTTCTGTTCTGTTCTGCACCTCATACCCACACACATGTGTTCTTCCTTGACCCTTTGGACTGTACTATACACACAGTAACTAAATTCAGACCCAATACCTATAATTATTTTTTCCACTTAAGTCCAAAATGAAATTGCTGAACTTGTTGGAGATTAGTGCCTAATCAAAGAAGGGCAGCAGAAAGGATAAAATTGGCTGTGTGCCTAGCACAAAGGGCAGACAGGGCAGGGCACGGCAAAGCTACATAAACTGCGGGCTCCTGGAAGTATGAGAAGCAATGTCTACCCCTAAAAATAGGGCTGTAGTTGTTGTTAGTTGCAACAGAGTCACCTCTGGCGCATAGCGACCACATGTACAACAGGATGAAACACTGCCCAGTTCCGTGCCATCTCCATGATTGCTGGTATGCTCAAGTGCATTGTTTCAGGCATTGTGTATTTTGATTGCCTTCCAACCTAAGTATAATCTTCTAGCATTATATTGAACAATATTCTGTTGTGATCCATAAGGTTTTCATTGGCTAATTTTCAGAATTAGATTACCAAGCCTTTTTTCCTAGTCTGACTTGGTTTAGAAGCTCCACTGAAACCTGTCTACCATGGGTGACCCTGCTGGTATTTGAAATATTGATGGAATAGCTTCTAGCATCACCAAACCAAAACCAAACTCACTGCCATCGAGTTGATTCCGACTCATAATGACCCCCCATTGGGTTTCCAAGGCTGTAAACCTTTACAGAAATAGACCACCCCATCTTCTGTAGAGCAGCTGGCAGGTTCAAACCACCAACTTTTTGGGTAACAGCCAAATACTTTAACCACTACACCACCCCACAGCACCATGCAAACCCCACTACAGTACAACAAACTGTCAGGTAGTAGATAAGTAGGATAAGTAGGTGTATTGTTAATTCACAAGATCGGGGCAATCATGAACTACTCTCAGCAGAAGTATTTTACAAGGATCTCAGGGAGAGCTACTTCACTACTCAGAGCTGGTTTCTTAATTTGCAAAATGACAAAGTTAGAATGTCAAGGATGGCAACTCTATGATATGTAATACTATCATGTTCTCTCCCTTACCCATAGCAGATATTGCTGAGGGATCATAGCATGTCTCTTTCTGCTAAGCAGCAAACTGAAATGTCTTTCCATCCCTAGACTAGGTAATCTCCAAGATCCCTGGAAGTACTAATATTCTAGGAGTCTGTGCAGATATAAGTCTAATCAAGGCAGATTGCCCTTGGTGCTTGCCCAGAGAGTGCAAAAGTGGAGGAAGAATCACCTTTATGGAAGGAAGTCAGGGATGGCCTTACGATGGAAAGAGCATTTGAAGTAGAAATAGGAGAAGGGTCTTTTATGGAGATGTGGCATCAGCCCATAGTAGAGAAAGTAACTTCTTTAGAACATGACAGAAAAAGACTTAAAATGTGCGGTATGAAGAGAAAGCAAGAAAGACAGGTTTAGCTCAGTTGTGAAAGCCTCTGAGAGCTGGTTAAAGCCTTACTATTGATGAAGAACCCTGAGTGTAACAGAGGAGCTGTGCTGTAGTTTGGTTTGGAGGTCATAAAACATTTACAAGGATCTGCCAGCCTTCTGATGGATTGTAGCCAGGCTTTGAGTCATCTACATGGCCATAAAAAAAAAGCATGAAACCCTAAATGTGGATTATGGTGATCCCAGATGCTGGTGCCCTCAGGCACCTGGCAGAAGCAAATGAAAATAGTCTATGAGTAATTTTAGACCTTAAATTATTTCAAGTAGAGTGTTCAATACACTATCAAAGACAATTAGACTACAAAGAGAGGACACTATGGAGGAAAATCAACAGAATTAATTCAATAGAAATAAAGCCTCAGAGACTCCGGATATTATGATTGCTGACACAGATGGTAAAGTAACTGTACTTATTGTGTTCAAGGAGGAAAACCCTACACCTGAAAACTTGGTTGAGAAACTGTAAATTATTAAAAGTGAAAAGACAGATCTAGAAAAGAACCCAGCCGACAATTCTATAACTAAAAAATACAAAACTAGAATTAAGAACACAGTAAACGAATAAAATAGGAGAAGTGAGAATTAGTCCACTGGAGGAGAGGTCAGAA